TCAGCAGGTGCGGTGACAAATGCTTTTAGTCCCAGCACTCGGGAGGCTGAGACAGGAGGATCTCTGAATTTGAGGCCAGCCTGGTCTACAGGGTGAGTTCCAGGACAGCCACGGAAACACCTTCTATGCCTGTCCTCCTAGCACTCAGGACACTGAAGCAGGAAGAGCAGGGGTTCCCTGCCAGATCGGGCTCTAGAGAGACCCAATTTTAAAGAAATAAAAATCACAACTATCCTTTTTAAAAAAACAAACACATCAACACTGTCTGGCTGTGGTGCTGTCTGTCTGAACCGTCCTTTCTAGCAGCATATTAAAAGGCCCTGGGATGTTTCATCAGAGAAATCGGCTGGTTTCCACTTTAACTTCATATTTTGTTTTCTTCTGAGTATTCTCCATCTCCATCCAGTGTGCATCAACAGGGCACTGCCTTAAGAAACCTACTTCAGAAGAGTTTCTTCCTTACAAGTCAGGGACTGGGGGGGGGGGGGGACACCTCACTGTTCCCAGCTGAGAATTCCAGAAACATGCCGCAGGCACTTGTGAAGTTTCACAAAAGGCTTCTCAGTAGGGCAGACATCAGCCTCCTCTTGGGACATTCAGCAGCATTCCATTTACACACAGCCCAGCATACAAATCTTGCATGCAGAATTGGGCATCTGGCAGGCTCCAAAGGCCTGGGTATCAACCAGCTAAGGGAGTATTGGCAAGAGGGGGAAGAGGAGAAAAGGCTCCAAATTAGACACACCAGAACTTGAGCCCTACTTGGTGGCGATCTGAGCCGCGAAGAGCCCTTTGAGGTTTAAACAGAATCAAAGGAGGGGGTCCGGGCTTGTTCCAGACACCACAGGAGCTGCATGATGGCCACTTTCGCCATCGCTGTCACATTAGCCATGCCACTGCTGGGTCTGTAACCTTTGATAGCTCCCTACTGCCCACACAGGAGCTCAAACTTCCGAAACAGCCAAACAAGAGCCTCTACCATAGAGTTTTGACCAAGTCTCACTCTATAGCCATGGCTAGCCTGGAAGTCACTATGTAGACCAGGCGGGGCTCGAACTCACAGAGATCCATCTTCCTTTGTCTCCTGAGTGCTGGGCTTAAAGATGTGCACCACCACGCCTGGCTACCATAGTGAATTGGCGTGTGGCACGATGCCAGTCGCACCAGACTCCCTATCTTTCCCTGATCTCCATAACTGCTCTTGCCAGTTCCTCTGACTAGGCTCTTCTCCAAACCTCACTCCACCACCTTCAAGGTCTCAGTTTGAAACACATTCTTCTAACTCAGCTAACCCTTCCAAAACAGCACCCCCCCACACACACACACACCTTGGAAACTCAGGTAAACAAGTTTCCTAAATACCAACGCAGGTATCTAGGCAAATACCAACCCACCAAATCCTCACACCAACGAGGTTGCTGTTATTATTACTTCATTTTACGGGTGAGACAACCGAGATCCAAGGAGATTAAGTGACTTCCACTTCCCCCAGATCGTACAGTCTGGAGAGGCTGGGCTGAGATTGACATCCCAGCTGGATAGACGCGGTCCCTGTTCCTACTCCTCGATCCTAGAGCTTCTGCGCTCTATGCCCTTAACATTCTGATGCTTGTTTTCTCTCGGTGCCACTTAGAAGGCTACAGCCACTTTCCCAGCCACGTTACTTCACCAATGCAAGTCATTCATCAGGGACAACCATGCTTGGAGAAAGACGCCATGATGGCGCTTCTAGAGCATTCTGTACCCTGGCTGGCCTAGTCCAAGAGCCTCGTCAGCTCCAGCACTAGCGATCACTTCTGGGGATTAGTAGCGAGTAGTGACAGCAGCCTCCTGCTCATCTCCAGGCTCCCTGAGCTCTGAGGACGTCATAAACACCCAGGAACGTCTCATGGCCTGAGTGCCTCCTTCCAACTCATTTTCCCAGAAATCTCAGCCAACTTCTGAACCTGCTCTGGAACCTCAAACAAAAGGGGGTTGGCGGGCAGAACTTGAGGAGGAAGATAATCCAAAAATAATTGATCCCAGGTCATGGAAAGCATTTTGTTTACTGCACCAGTGACCTTCCCAATTATTGTCCGCTTAGGCTAACGTTACAGCCTGCCCTCCTCAGTGGACCGGACTGCCATGCATGAGCACCACAGTCCTTACAGAGTCCTGACCCAGGCTGTCAAGTGGTAACCTTAGGTACGGAGAGCTGGAAGGCAGGCTCCGAAGGACACTGCAAGACGCACATCTTCCCTATGTTCAGGTTTACTCTGCATCTTGTGGAGTCTCACCAGCAGACTATACAAGAGCAGGGTACATCATCAGATCCTGAAATTGCCCCTCTCCCTGCTGTGGACCCTTGTAGCAAATCTTCATTCAAGCAAAGAGACGAGGATCTGCCCACCTGTACATGTGAGAAGACTAAGCCCAAGACACTTACCCTCGTCAGGTTACAGGTCCCTGGCTGCTCTTCCTAAGTGAAGTAAGGGTTGGCTTGATCTCCCCCAGGCTTTTTGGGAGACTCTCCCTCACCCTCACCTTATGGAGGTGAATTTGGCATTCTAGGCAACCTGGCTGACCCTAGAGAGCAAAGGTCATATGAGCTCCTCCACTCTTCCAGGTTTGTAGGACGGAAGCCCTCTGGGAACAGGAAGTTAGTTGTGCTGACTCACAAGCCAAGGGAGAGTAATCCAGGAAACTTGTCACTCCGTTACCATGGCACTGGGGAGGCAGGCACCCCTTCCTCTCTTGAGGTTCACTCAGTGGGCAGTGGGGGCAGGGCACAATGAGAGCTCAGACCGTGTCTCCAGGGCTCTCAGAAGTCCAGCTTCACAGCAAGAACTCAGCTACCCTCTCAAAACAGCTGCCCAGCATGGAGGGTGTCCTGGGATTCAACCGTCCCCAGTCTGCAGAGTGTGGGAGAAGCCATCGTGGAATTGATGAGCCTACTCCACCCAGGCTGAGAAAATCAAATTCCCAGACAGTGTGGAGATGCCCACGCCCACTCAAGGTTATTAGCTCCCAGCCTTCTGAAATCCTCCGCTGTCTTTAGTGGAGGCCTGGCCTCTTGCAGAGTCAAGAATGAGGATAAGAGTAGGCGAGTGTCGCCTGAAGAAGGAAGGTATCACCTGAAGGGAGAGGACACAGTGGTGGCTCACCTCCACAGACTGTAAAACTTTCTCTTTAGTGTCCAAAGAAACCTTCTGGCTTAGTTTTTCATTCCCCAGGCCTGGTGCTACCTGCCTTCGGCTGGACACTGATCACAGCGCTATGGTGACAGGTGGCACAAGTGCCTGAGAACTAGCTGCCTGCTGACCTCGGTTCAAGTCCTATTTACCAGGCTAGCTCAGCACTCAGGAGGCAGAGGCAGGTGGATCTCTGAGCCTGCCTACAGAGCGAGTTTCAGGACAGCCAGGACTACAAAGAGAAACTGTCTGGAAAAGAAGAGAAATTTTATCATTTTGCCTGAACTACAAACTACAGAGTTACTCTTTTATTTTCTCCAGGACAAGGTCTTAATAAGTAGCCCTGGCTTGAAGTCACTAAGCAGAATAGGCTGGCCTTGAACTTGTGGACAATCCTCCTGCCTCTTCCCCTCTGTAATTATAGGTCTCATCCAACTCTCCCTCTTTTCGCCACTAAAGGGCCCTTCAACTTCATTTTTAAAGGCAAGAGAACTCCCCCCACCCCACCTTGTAGACACAGTTACTCTGTGTGGTCCTGGCTGGCCTGGAACTCAATCTGTAGACCGGGCTGGTTTCGAACTCAGAGATCTGCCTGCCTCTGCCTCCCCACCACCCAGTGGCATCAGAGGAACTTTTTAATAAGTTTTTATTTACCATTTCAGAAATCAAGGTCAAGGGAGAGAAGGGAGAGATTGGCCTGAGAGTGACAAGCAAGAGCCACAGCTGAGAGGGGTATTTTCCATCATTCCCTCTCCTGGCCTTCGGCGAGGCCCAGTTCATTGTGAGCCTATAAAGCATTCAGGCTCACTGTTGCACTGACCCAAGACAGGGAGAGACCCAGACACTTGCTACACTCCCTTCCCAAGAAAACACCAAGGGTGCCAGCCACTCCCTTCCTCAAGGCCAAGGTTTAGCTAATTCACAGGAAAGGGGGTGGGCGGGAGTGCTGGTGAGCGGAGGGAGATAGACTTCATCTATGCAGGTTGACATCACCAAAAGATAATAATGAAATTGTTATGTGGCGCCCTGCCCCAGGCAAACTCCAAGTTGTCAGGCCTGAAGGTATTCTCAAGCACAACCTGCAGCCTCCAGGGGCAACTCTTGCTGCCGCTTCTTGTACCATTGTCTAAGGACTTGAGAGGAAGAAAATAAGTCGACCTCCTAATCAACCTCCTAATCAAGCAAGAGCCGTTCAAGGGGAACATGTCCCACCCTCCTCCCCCACACCCAGTGACTCAGAGACAAGTTTCTGGAGAAGAAACTGAGGACGGGGAGTGGCTGTCAAACCCTAGGCTGAGGCTCTTGGAAAATGCGGTGTGTGGGGGGGGATGTGGGGGAGTAAGAGCGTGTGGAGTATGGGGAGCAGAGAGCATTAGGAAATCCCCTCCAGTATTTGATAAAGAAGGTATGGTAATATCTTCTGGCCTTAGGTGTGTGGGAGGGCGCTCTCCTCTCCATCCCTTGACACCTGTCCTCAGTGGGCCAGACCCTTTGCATTCTCCCTGTGACCCTGAACACATACATGCAGGGCAGACCTTATATACTATCAACTTCAGGAAAGAAACATTTTCTGTACCCCTAACCTCTTTGCCGCAACACGGTACCCGTCTGAAAACACCTGTGCCTGGGTATTTCGGGTCGTCCATTTCTCCCTCACAGCTCAGTACCTCTGGCTTCCCATCGGCGCTTACAACGGCTTATCCCAGCTCTTCCCCCTCACCCCAGGCACGCCCAGCCCGCTCCCAACTGTGGGCCCCGTCGGGGCTGCGGGGGGAGGGGGGAGCGGCCGAAGCAGGAAGAGGGGAAGAAAGCAGGGCGGCCCGAGCTCACCATGGCGAAGCCGGAGAGAAGAGCCGAAGTCCGGCTGGACGCTTTAAGCTTGGCGCGGCTTAAGTAGAGCTTGCGCCAGGACAGCGCCTGCATCGAGTGCTCGTTGAGGCTCATCACCTCGGAGTAACTCTGGCCGATCCAGTCCGGGTAGCTGACGGCGGGCGGTGGCGGCAGCGGTGGGGCCCCCGAGGGCTCCCCGTCCCCGCTGCGGCGGCGACTCCG